TAAAATTTTTTTGTAAATAAGAGTATATGTAATGCATATAATCAATAAAATGGGCGACGTTGTGTGTTCAAAAAAAATTTGAGATTTATTATAAGTTATCAGTTTATATAATTTGATATAAAATCAATAATAAAAAAAAGAAAGTATTAAGCAAGATACTAAATTTGATTAAGTAATAAGTATTTCAGACATTTACAGAAAATAATCAAAATTATAGATGAATAGGTTTCTCAGATAATTAGAAAAAAGAATAATATTTCAAAAAGGTTAACTCCTAATGAGATGATATTTCCAGTAGAAGTTTTTTAAAAAATATAGAGCAATTTTATTTTTTATTTTTTATTTTTATTTTTATATAACATAATTATACAATTTTAAATATTTCTTTTTTCTTTTTGTAGTTTTCTGAAATTAATTTCTTGAAGTATAATAAGTAGTGACAACTTATTAGCAATGATGTATAAATTAAGAGAATATTTATCCAAAACTCATTATTAAGTAAAATATTATTTTCAAGATTGTATTTTGAGATTAAAATTTATTTGAGAATTGAAAACCATTGATAAGTAAGCTAGCATAAATTAGTTTAGCTATGATACAACTGCCTTAAATTTTTTATCAGTTTTCATAATGGTTAATAAATACATATATATATATAATAATGGATTTAAAAAAAAACAATCAAATATATTATAAGACAAATTTATATAATCAAATTTCAATTGAAATTTTTAAAAGTACTTCATGAATATATTTATATAAAGAAGGTTATTATACTTATACTAATAAAATAAAATTATTTATTAGTAATAAAATAAAAAATTGTTTGCAATAGGCAAAATAGCATTTATAATAAACTTTTGAGTAAAATTCTATTATTTAAATAATAGATCTTACTTTGAAGTATACGAGATAATGACTATAATTATGTATAATAATTATTTTTTAAAAAAAATAACATCAATTGTCTTATTTCAACAATTAAATCTGATAAAAGGAAAGTAATGGTATATGATACTTTATATCTGATAGATTAAATCTATTAATACATAATAAAAAGTAATTGACTATATTGGTATATTCAATAAAAATTTATTATTATATTTAGATGAGATTAGCTTTCAAAATAATTATCTTTTTCAAGATGATAATTATTCAATTCATTGGGCAAAAATTATAAAAAAATGAATAGATAAAAAAATACCTTTGGTCTTTCATGACCTGTTCAAAATCCTAGCATTGATCCAATTGAAATTTTGGGATTTAATATAGAATTCATAGTCGTAATCCCCTATCAATTAGTAAAGCAGAATTGTTTGAATTCTGCAAGAAGAGTGGTTAGAAATAGATTATTCAATTTATTGCAATCTTGTAAAAAGTATGCCTCGTTGTATTAAGGCTGTTAAAAATTCTGGAGGAAATCAAACGAAATATTAAATGCATGAATAAAATTTAAGAACATTATTGTAAAAAAAATACATTAAAAAATTTTTTTATTTAAATTTTTTATTTATTCGCCGAATTTAATTATCTGTCCATGATCAAGTATACGCATTGATAAAGTATCGTAAAATGTAACTTTTTTTATATGAAGAATTGTAAAACGTGACTCTCGTCTTTTAAAGTTTTTTTGAATTTACCTCAACCGAAACTTCAACAAATAAACTGAGCTGATTAAAATTTTTAATAATGCAATAGTTAAATTCATTTGATAAAGAATAAACTAAGAATATGACGTATTCGAACATAATTAATGTCAATTTGGATATAAAAAATAAATAAATAAGATAAATAAATGAATAAAATGATAAGGTCATTAATCGCAAGTCCCGTAATTTTCAGTATCATTCTTGACAATTACTAAGTCAAATAGTAATTCTTTCATTAGTTTAACACTGGAATAATCGAAAGACAAAAGTAAAATATAAGACAAATATAACACTTACGCTAATTAAATTAATTAATCCTCAGAGCTTTTTTCGCAAAATGACCAGTCTTGTTGATCAAAATTCCATTTACCAACATCTCCCTTAAATTTAAAGCAGACATCTCCGCTAAATGGTCCTCTATGTTTTGTTTTTCTCGCGCTGCCCATAACCTTCGCATGAAGCCAGTAGGGATTAGCTTGTACATCTCGATTATGATATTTTAAATGTGGATCTCCTTCTTCGCAATCCAACCATCCAGTTTCCATTACAGTATTTCCACTATTATCTGTAGCCCAAACTTTACATTGCGCCCAAAACACAAATATACCGATTGAAACATTAAAAGCTTCGGTTTGCTCAAGTGCCATAATGCAAATTATAGCAATGATTAAAATAATGGAATATTTCATGATGAGAACAGTAAATGAATGAATTTTTTTTTTTTTTAATAAAAAATTTAGTGATGTATACCAGATTATATATAAGTTTTCGCATACTCATCATGTTCGTTAGTTTCATATGATGATGATAAGGATAAGAGTCTAATGGTTACTTAAAATCGATTAAAAAAAAGATCTTAAAAAAAAAAGGAAACTACTTTAAATGCTCAATTCGTTATTTCACAAAGACAATTAAAAAAGAAAAAATTGATTTTCTGCCAATCTATTATTTAATTTGTCTATCACTGAATGTGAGAAGCGTCTTTATGATTTTCATAGGATACAGTATGTTACCTTATTTTCTGACCTGATTATCAATCCAACCCTACCACGGCACTGTAATTATAGACTATAATAGACCATTTTCCCGCCTTAATGGTGTCCCAGAAATCAATCGCATAAATTCTATTGAGTTTGAGCTACAGAGTGGATTCCCATATCTTCTCTGAACCCCCAGAGACCCGAGCCTTGTTGGGTTTGCAAACAAGAAATTATAGATTCACATGCAATGTTTCGATGTGACCATTCTTTCCATGTTAAATGTTGTCGCGCGCACGATGTGGATTGAAAGCAGAAGATCCTATACCCTATAGGATATGGTCTAGCAGTCTGCGAAGCATGACATATTCTGTGCCTATATGGTAGAAAATATCGCGTATGTAATATATTGTATAATGATGATTGTGGGTTGAATAAAATTTTTTTTTTTTTTTTTATAGATACAGTACATGTCAAGTGGAGTACTACTAGTGGATCTTCCTCATACGTATTTTTCAGATCAAATACGTACAATGAACTCACTCTTGAGTAGACAACTATTAATAACCATGAATGCACCTTTTACGTTATCCACTGGGATATCATGCTATTTTTGTGTTACATAGATTGGACTTAAATTTCGCCCATTTGTGAAGAACGATTTTGAATGGATTCAGGAAATACAGTACTCCTCTCTGATGAAATCATTTTACGCTAGTAATATTTGCCGGTGGTATTTAACGGAATCCAATGTTCTCGTAATAAGGTTCTTTAAGATTATTTGCAATCATTCTATGCATACAGCGTATCCATTTTTGTTCGTAAGGATGGTAACCACAAACTAATAAATAACTTTATCATTTTGCGATATTGGTATTTATTCTACCTTTTTTGTCAAAATTTTATCTATAGACTTAGATTCTAATATTAATTTTGAATATGTCTATTATCAATATAATAATAAAATTAAATTTTTTATGCATAAGATTTTTTATAGTTGTATTTATTTACAATTTTAATACGGTATCTAATTTTAGTTTGCCAATATTTAATATCAATTTAACCATCGAAATATTTTTTTAAAAAGTTTTAAGAAGAATAATATTTCAATTTGTATTTATTTATACTTATTAACAACTTACAATATATAAATTTATATCTTTTAATTCTCAGTATTATCAACAAGATTATAGTTGAATTTAATAATATTGTATAATATTTTATTAAGTTTTAATTTATTAATATTAATAAACCGATCATTTTTATTCTTACTAAATGTAATAAAATTTTTATTTTATATATCATTTAAGATATACAGTATATACTATATTGCTTATGTTATTTTTATTATTATAAAGATTTCAAAATATTTATTTATGGTTTATTTTTTTAAATTCAATCATATTATTATAATCTATTTTCAAAAAAAAAAAAAACCCTTTTTTTTTGATAATTTTTAAAAAACTTATTTTATTTATTCTCTTTTTTAAAAAAATTTAGAAAATAATTCATTCTAAAAAAATACAATCAGAATAAAAAAAATGTCTTAATGAAAAATTATATAAATATTTATACAAAAAATAAATATAAAGTTTATATAAAAAATACATTATATATAAAGCAAAATAATTTAAAAAAAAAATAATATTAAAATATATATAGCTATTATTAGCAAAATATAACAAATAATTAATTAATTAAAGTTTATATAATATAAAATATAATACTGATATTAATAATATAATAAGCAAATTTATATATCAACAAATGAATAAATTTTTCAAAATTTTTTTTTTACTTAAAAATAATCAATTTTTTTTTAAAAATTTCTTTTGAAAATACATTATTTACCTACTGTAAATATAAATTTTTTGAAAAAGCTTTGAATTGTTATTTCTTTTTTCAATATATTAATTTAATAATTTTTTATTATTAAAAATTAAATATAGTGACTAATTGTAAGTAATAATTCTAATAGATAAGAATTTTGATATTAGTTAATTAATAAATAAAATATTGTTTTAAATATAATATAAAGTATCTAATTAAAATATTGTTTTGTTTAGTTTAAATTAATTTAATATACTTTTTATATTTATTCAATAATATAGTTTTGTAACTAATAATGTATAAAGATAAATTAGCTATTATATAAAAAAAAACTCTTTTCCTGATCCTTTAACCACACATAAAAAAGATATTTACAAGAAGGTTTATTCTTTTTTGTTAATAAAGTCTTTATAATTTTATTAAAACAACTTGAAGCTTATTTTTACGTATCTCTTCTATTCTCCATTACTTGTTTATAAACTCCTTTAAATAAAACTTGAGTCTTTAGTGATCTGAAAAGACTCAAATATACATTTTCACTACTAAAGCAAGAAAGCTCTAGAAAGTAAAAGGACTGACAAGTAAAGTGTCACCTTACAGAGCTAGAAATAATAAGAAATAAAGATTTTGTTGACAAAAGAAGGTTTATTATTTATCTTTTTATATACTATCTTGTATTTTCTTAAAGTGTTTATTTTTTTTTACAATTTTCTTGTAAGATTTTATCTATTTTAATTTAACTCTAAATTTTTGATAGCACAATGTCACTTGACATTTAATTGATTGACATGAAACATATTAGTAACTAAATATAATTAAGTATCTACTAGTTACTTCATATGTTCTAATAACATTATTAGTAATTGAAAGAGTTAATTGGTGCCTAGTGTTTACTCTACTCCTCCAATTGGGTTAATCTATAAATTAAGTTCTATGAAACGAATAAAATATGAGCAACAAGTCTCCAAGTGATAAAAAAATTATTATTTATTCAAGTTGAGATCTTTCTCTTCTATCATCCCAATCAAGTAAAGTTCAAGACCAAGGTCTTCTTTTTATATTGATCAGGCAATAAGACTGAACTGTCTCTAATTCATACTAAGCTCTAACCCTTTGATTATAGTTGAGAATATAACTATTACAAAACAAAAAGATTATAGAAGAATCTGATCTTTTGGGTAATAAAAGATGTATATTAGTAAAATTCCTTTAATTAGGTGTAACTACTGAAAGGTATTATACTGAAACCATATGACCTAGTTTCTATTAAATTATATAAAAACCTGGGGTCCATTATAAGTTACCTCTTTATTGCAAGTGAATAAAAAATTATTGTTTAAAAAAGGTTAAAACCAAGTGTATCCTGAAAGTAAAGGTTTCCACTAGGCAATAAGTCTCCTCAACAATACACAAGAAAAAAATCAAGATTAAAAATAAATAAGTTTCTCAGATAGTCAGGAAAAGAAATACATTCCAATCAGATATTTCTTATTAAGAAGAGGTCTTGATAAGCAGATCTTTGGAAGAAGCTGGAAATATTTTTTTCATTTTTTACTTTATTATTTTTTATTGTCTATTTAGACATTTTTAAATATTCCCCTTTTCCTTTTTTTTTTCAACCCATCTTTTTGTAGTTTCCTGTATTCCAGTAGCTTGGTATAATATACAGTAGTAATAATTTGTTAGCAATAATGCCATGAACTAGAAGGGTTTTTACCCAAGGATATTGCAGAGTGAAATATTGTTCACAAAATCAAACTTGGATATTTTTATACTTACAACAGTTAATTAGATTAGAATAATAGTTTAGCTATAGTATGTACCTTGCTGCTCGAATAAAAATATATTTATATTTTCAATTAATTAATAAATTAACAATCTAATCTAATTACAGGCACTCAATAAATTAACTATAATATAAAAGTTTATAAAATATTAATATTATAATAAATATCTATCTTCTCATATATTATCATTGACTTTTTTAAAATATTTGCTATTTTTTATAGTTTTCTTGAAAGATTTTTGTCTAGCTTAATTTAATTCTAAATTTTAGTAGTACAATATTACTTGATATCTTATTAATTAATGTAATATATTAATAGCAAAAATATAAACAGGTTTTAATTAATTATATTTATTATTCTAATAATATCAAAAATAATTGAAAAATTTGATTGGTGTTATATTTTTGCTTTACTTTTTTAATTAAATTAATCTACAAATCAAGTTCTATAAAGCCAATAAGATATAGATGACAAGTTTTAAATAATAAAAAAACTATTATTTATTTAAATTAAAGTTTTTTTTTCTTATTATACCAATCAGATAAATTTCAAGATTAAAATCTCTTTTTTATATTGATTAAATAATAAGACTAAATAGTTTTTAATTCATATTAAGTTTCAATTCTTTGATTATAGTTAAGAATATATTTTTTCAAAAATTATAAAAAGAAGTTACAATTAATAGTAATTTCTATTATTAGTTAAAATATTTTCACTATTATAATATAAAAAAAATCCAATTTTTTGTATAATAGATGATACTTAATTGTAAAATTTTTTTAATTAGATATAGCTGCCAAAAATTATTATAGTGAAATAATAGAAGTTAATTTTTAGATTATATAAGAAACTAGAGTTTATCATAAGTTAATTATCTACCATAAATGAATATAAAATTATTACTCAATATGCAATAACTTAACAGCAATATACTGTAAACTCTTCAAAAACAAAACTGCTTTGTGTAAATTCGTCCCTAATGTTATTCACTATTCAAATATACAGTATATAATCTCAAAAATATATGGACACTTTAAAAAGAAAGTAATATTA